TGGTAAAAAAAAGTTTAATCAATTGATAATATCGAGTGTTTGATCTCATTCAAATCTTTAAGTATGAAATATTACCTTTTTGGTTTTTTTTTTTTGGATGCAAATACCTTTTTTTTTTTTTCATTTCAGACATTGTTCAACAAACTATTGAAACATTTATTTAAAGCATTGATTATCTCTCCCACGATCGCCGTTAATATAATTGCGATTGTATATCTAAAGTTTGTAATTGCTATAAATCAAAAATATGTTGCCCCGAATATTTGTAGTGACAAGCATTAATGGTTAATTATATATAAAAATTAGAGTCGGATAACATTTTCTAACTTCACAAATCACAATGTTATACGAATAAAACACAGCTACACAAAAACCAGGAAATATTATTGTCAAACATGAAATGAAAATTTGTTAAAAAAACAAAAAACATGAAATGAAATTTATCAACTAGGACCTAATCAAATTCATTATGTAAATGTAATTATAAACTATTCTCCAACCATCTTTATTTCTCAGACTATAGAACCATGGTCTTTTTATAAGTCATGTTGTACTAATACTTTTTTATTCTCCCTATTTTTTTATATAACCACCCGCAATGCAATTTAATAGCTATTGTTTTATTTAAATATTTTATAGTTTGATGGATATTTAATGTGATCGTTATATATAGAGAGCAGGAAAAAAGTAAATGGTATATCACTTTCAATTTGTAGCTAATCCGACAAATATGACATATAATGTGCCTAAGCAAGACGTGTGCTTTAGATAAATTGGACATTAATTATCTAATCTCGAAATTTCGATGATTTTTTTTTTCTGTTCGCAATGAAATGTATTGTTAATATTTGTACAAGATGGACCCCCCCCCCTCTCTCTCTCTTAAATATTTAATAACATTATTACTTTATAATATAAGAACATCAAATTAGTTGCAAAAAATTACACATCCAGTTATTACACACTCTTCGTTTCTGTTTGCCAGTTGGCTACCTAAAAGTATGAAAAAGAGTCATCAATATATATAGTTGTTAATTGCATACGATATAATATCGAACCGTTTTTTTTTTGGCTAAGTGATTGAATTAGAGACTTAATTTAGACAGCTCTATTCTATGTTTAGAGTTCAAATTAAACCTTACTCTAGATAGATTTTGAGGTTAGTAAGTTTGAGACTATTTTCTTCAACGCCGAGAAGTGTCTGTCACGATCTTGAGTGTTTATCTGAATTTGTTGAGTGCATGCTTAAACATTATTTGCAAACATACTAATGTTTTAATGC